TTGTACCATTTTACAGTCCCACCAGCAGTGTATGAGAGTCCCAATCTCTCCACAACCTCGCCAGCATTTGTTATTTTCTGTCTTTCAACATAGTTTTTGACATACATTTCTATTCTGCTGTTCCCTAGAAAGATTTTACATAAGCACATTCTCTACCTGTGATTCACTCTCCAGGGTTCTGCAGTTGGTGATTTATATCTTGATGATGGACATTCATTCCAGTACTTCCACCAGAAACAGTTCTTGCACAGAAAGTTTTCCTTCTGTTCAGGTGTTTTGATTAACAGGTAATGACAGCTAAAGAAGTCATGTGTGTTTTAAATAAATTACACTGCCCTTTTTGCATCTTCAAATGCACAGGTAATGTTTTGGTGTACTATTTAAAGAAAGGATGGTGAAGGTCACTTGTAGGGTATTTTTCAATCATTCCAGTATGACTACCCCTTTTTTATTGTCTCCATCTTCCTTTCCCCTTCTCCCTGTAAAAAATAAAAAAGGATTCAATTTAAGTTTCCATTAATTCCATTCATTCATCCATTCAGCAATTCATTAAGTATCCACTTTCTTACAGTTTGATTGTAATGCTCAAGTCACATTTGTCCTTCAGTGATTTCTCTCCAAATAGTTTATTAAAGGACCAAAAACTAGACTCACTGCCATAGAGTTGATTCTAACTCATAGTGACCCCCATTGGGTTTCCAAGGCTATAAATCTTTACAGAAGCAGACTGCCCCATCTTTCTTTTGCAGAGTGACTGGTGGGTTTGAACCACTGATCCTTTAATTAGCAGCCAAATGCCTTAACCACTATGCCACCAGAGCTGCTTCCTATCAAGCACAGACCCCATGAAATCCATGAAACATTATTTTACCCATTCTCTTCTCTGACCCCAAATTGGAGTATTTACAGAATGGGTGAGGCAGAAGGGCGGGGGTGGATATTATTCTCCTTTGTTTCTTTTAATCTCAGGACATATAGCAGAATAACCAAAAAAAAAAAAAAAAACCCAAACTCACTGCTGTCGAGTCAATTCAACTCATAGCAAACCACCCCCACCCCCCTTGGGTTTCTAAGACAGTATCTCTACAGAAGTAGATTGCCCAGTCTTCCTTCGGAGGAGTGGCTGGTGGGTTTGAACCGCCAGTCTTCTGGTTAGCAGTCAGATGCCTTAGGCACTATGCCACCAGAGCACCTATGATGAAAAAGATGAAAAAACAGATGATGAAAAAAAATTTCTGCTTTCTTAATGAATGGTTTTAACATGCCCGCTAACAGTTAACAATAATTCACTTTGTACAAATGCTTTAACTTTCATTCCTT